GTTTTGCTTTGTTTCACAGAACTAATCGTTGCCTGGGTTGCGTACGTATGTGTGGGGCGGAGCTATCAAAATAGGGGCGAGACCCTTTTGGGGTAGGGGCGTGTTTGTTTTGGTGATTTCAAATGTCAACATTGGCTACCAGAAATCGCTTACCCCACCTTTAAGTGCCACAAATAATGTGCGCACAAAGTTCTGTTTTTGCTACAATTCCAAGAATCTATCTATAAACATACTTGTGGATTTTTTTCCTACTTTTTCTCATTTATTTTTAATTCAGTGTTAAAAGGGTATTTCCCCCAAGTTTTAGTGCTCATAATGTAGACACACCAGATGTTAAACTGAAACTTGCACCCTGAAACCTGTTTCCCGGAACTATGAAAACTTAAACTCAGCAGAAGCTGCTTTTATAGTAGTTTGACATTTTAATATGGACCCTTTTCACATTTCTGGGCTTCTCATATTCCTCAGTTTCCATAGTGGGAAAATGGGAGACTACAGCAAACAAACAAAAAAAATTGCCTTCCCATTTGCTCCAATGGCAATACATTTTAATTTATCTAAGTTTGTTCACATTTATCTGTTTAAAAATACAGTAAATGTGAAATATTATTACAGTTTCACATAACTGGTTTCTATTTTAACATTTTATAATATAATTTATAACTGTGATGCAAAGCTGAATTTTCAGCTGCAGTCATTACTGCAGTCTTCAGTGTCACATGATCCTTCAGAAATCCCTCTGATATGCTGATTTACTGCTCAAGACTGATTATTATTTCTGATTATTATCAGTGTTGTGCGAACAGTTGCGCTGCTAATATAATTTATAACTGTGATGCAAAGCTGAATTTTCAGCTGCAGTCATTACTGCAGTCTTCAGTGTCACATGATCCTTCAGAAATCCCTCTGATATGCTGATTTACTGCTCAAGACTGATTATTATCAGTGTTGTGCGAACAGTTGCGCTGTTTCATATTTTTGTGGAAACCATGACCACTCAAAAGTTTGAGGTAAGATTTTTAATACTTTTATTCAGCAAGACTGTATGAAATTGATCAAAAGTAACAACAACAACATGTATAATGTTACAAAAGATTTCTATGTCAGATAATTCAGTTCTTTTGAATTTTCTATTCAACAAAAAATCCTTAAAATAAAAAAAGGAATCTCGGTTTCCACAGAAATATGAAGCAGCACAACTGTTTTCAACATTGATAATAATAATAATAATAATAAATGTTTCTTGAGCAGCATATTAGAATGATTTCTGAAGGATCATGTGACACTGAAGTAATGATGCTGGAAATTCAGCTTTGCGTCACAGGAATAAACTGCATTTTAAAATATATTAAATTAGAAAACAGTGATTTGAAATTGTCTTTTTTCTGTATTTTTGATCAAATAAATGCAGCCTTGGTGAGCAGAAGAGACTTCTTTGGAAAACATTAAAGCAATTTAATGATTCCAAATTTTTGAACAATAGTGTAATACCAAGGTAATAGAAAAAAGGTGTTGTAAAATTAAATAAGTAAATAAAATATAAAAAACTGCTAATTTTACCATTTTAATTACTGTAGAAACATGCACCATCACAATCTGTGAGGAGGATCCATTGTTTAGCACTCAAGTGGTTCTATCTTACAATGCAAATGCATTCACTGTTTAAGTCTCTCTGTTTGTGAAGAGTGTCATCTCATCAATAACTACAACACACATGACTTACCTTGTCATTCTGTTATAGTCACTTGCCTCACAATCTCAGTATGAGGCTCAACAGGAATGTTTGCCTGTTCTTCAGTGTTTTCTGGGGGGAGAAGATTTAAGGAATTCAGACAAAAGGCACCAATTGCTATACAACTGCATTGGAACAAAAGACAGACAGCAAAACTGGAGACTAAATCAACGGTACACAGTTTATTAGGCGATATGTCCGAATCAATCTGAGATCAGTGCCGCAAGACCATCAATGATTTAAACATATATGTATTATATTTATCAGTGCATACGGCTGGCCATTAGAGACGTTAGACGCGCTACACAGACACAAGCTACTATATTTCTGTCACAAGCGAGAGGATAGGATTTGATTTAAGGATGGTAATTCAGCAACTCGGCGTTTGTTATTGTTTATGAGTTGCTAGCAGCTAGTCTGTTAGCATTGTGTTCATAGTTGGAAACTGATGCGGACTTCTCATGCAATCTGAGCATAAACACAGCGAACACATCCCGAAACATTCGGACTAACGCTCACATGCTGGAAAACACGTAAATGAACCGTTTCAAACCTGTCTGTTTGTTTCTATTTCCTCAGCTATCTCTGTATTCAGGCCTGGCTCGGCCGAAACGTTGCTAATGCCAACTAATTATTTCCGGTTCAGCCGAACAAGCTGAGAGAAAAGCGCATGCGCAAACAGGGTTATTATTATTATTATTATTATTATTATACAGTCATGTATAAACAACATGGCAATAATCTGTACATCTTTGCATTAGAGTATACAGAACAGATGCATGAAAGGAACACAAATACAACAGAAAAAAGGGGCTAGTTTTTTTTTTTTTTTTTAAACCAAACGATTTGTCGCATTATTCTTTTTTATCACCTTGAGGGATTTTGTATAAGAAATAAATTCATTATGAAATGCACAAAACGTTGGTTTCACCTTAACGTACTTAGATTTGTTTGAGTAAAACGAACTGGGGTCGTGCGTATTTAAATTTAGCCGAGTGCAGCTACATTTGTTTTCATAAATGAATTGCGAATGATTTTTCATTTTTGAAGTATCAGCTTGAACCTCAATATGAATGTAGTCTCATGTTTGTTGAGGAAGAAATCTTGTTGTATCTAGTCAGTCATGATAAATCTTACCACTTAAAGTGCTAGGGGTTTTGCTCACTTCAACCAGCCAACCTGGGCTGCGTTCAGCCCTGACAAAACGTTGCAAAATGTGTTTTAAACGGAAACGGTGATGCGTTGAACACCCTGTTCTATTGACGCAAGAGTTGCAGCTATGGCAGCTGAGGTAAAGCACTTAATTGCATTGTGTATGAAATTTGGTATATAAATAAACTTGCCTTGCAATGAAGCTAAAAATATAAACAACTACATCATCATGTTGACATGCTATATTTTTACTATAAAACTCTTACGACAAACATATCTTCTAATATCTTCAATTGTTGCGTATACCGAGCTGCAGCGGACACGTTTGTAAACGACTTTACTTGGACCAATTGTGCGAGCTGTCTCTTTAATACCGCGTGGTTTATATACATGTTGCTGCTGATTGGGCTGACATTTTTGACACACCCACCAAACAAGAGAAAACGTATCTCAAACCCCGTTGCACACCGTTTCCAGGAAACATGTCGCTCAACCCGGAAACCGTAGCAAAACGTTGCGCACCGGTTTGAGCTTGAATGTGCCCCTGATGATGCACACATATGCAAAACAATTGACAGAGAATGTTTCTGATTGGCTCTAAAAACGCAGGCCACTCCCCCTCGGACTGTCACGTGCGATTTACGTAAGGAAAAATATTCCTAGTAAAAATATTTTTGTGACATATTATCAGGATGTTTTAGTAAATGAACGTTGATAAATACTGACGTTTATTACTGTGTCTTATTTTACGGGTGCATAACGCAAATTATTAAATATCGTTCCTCCTCGATCGTGTTTAGCTAGTGAAAAACAACGTTTTTTTTCTTTAAACTTTAATACAGATTTTCACTGGTTTGATTTCTGAATTCTACTTGGCAACAGTGAATGTTGCTGAAATGATGGCTCTGGCTGAAAATCATAACCTTTTTAAGATCAAAATAAAACAATAAATTAAGTCATCCATTCATACGTTATGCAGTATTAGGAACTTTTTTATAATGTTCAAAAGGTTTGATGCAAATCACAACTCAATGTTTATATAAAAGCAGCTTTATTTATGAAAACCTTGTAAAAAAAAAAAAAAAAAAAGATAGAGATAAGACTTTGACAAGAGACATTCAAAATGTCAGTAGTGCCCTCACTTTTAACAGTAATGCACAAAGCCTCAGTATTTCTTCATATGCGAGTCTGACAGCAGGTTCTGGTTCTGTGCTCTCCTGCTGCCCAGCAGACAGACGGCACCACGCTTCACTCTGGTGTGCGCAGTTCTCAGCAAACATCTCTTTGCATCAACAGGTTTGTATCCATTGTCACATAAAAAAATCAAGAGCATGTCAAAGAGACCCCTGGTACAAAGTATGTTTAACACAGCCATGAAAAAGAACAATTGCAGATGGCGTACAGAGAAGATCTGTCTGTAAACATTGAGAGATGCCGGTTTGTGCGAACATATGGTGCTGCCGTGATGAAGAAAGCGACGGTTAGCAAGGCGCATGTTCTGACACATGCATGTTTTACACAAACATTCCTGGTCGTACTGTGTATGTTATTCCATTTGTCTTCTTTTTTTAAATTTTTTTTATCAAAGTTTAATAACTTGCTCCACCTCTGAAACATCCTTTCTTTTTTGTCTGACATTAGAAAACCTTCAAAAATCGCATTGCGTTATATACACCCACTTTTCCTAATCCACTCTTTTCCCAATGGATAAAAGTCCCACTCTTCATTTCTTCTCATTCAATATCATGTTTCACTCAGAAATACTTAAGGTTAAGCCACTTCACGTTGACTTTAAAAGCAAACAGATATGAGGGTTTAGTGTGAATCTGTACTGCATAATAATGTTGTGTCTAGCTAAAAGCCAAAAAAAAAAAAGCCCAATATTCAGGAGAACCACACAAAATACGAAGCTCAGGAGAGTGATCTGAATGTTTTTTTGAAAGCTAGCTTTAACGAGCAAGTTCTTCTGCGGGTCAGTACTCAGACACAGCCTGTCTCGAAGAGCTTGAGCAGTTCTTTGCAGTCTGGGTCGATGAGGTCTGCTGGTTTCTCTCCGTTTTCGTTCTCTGCTTCCACACTGGCACCCAGAGAGAGAAGGTACCTGAAGGAGGAATTACATTTGACATTTTAATACAACTAATTTAGCAAACATTAACAATCTGATAATGTACAATCTGATAAAGAAGAAAGAAGTACACTTTAGCATACTTGAAATAATATACTTAAGTGCAACTGAACTAATGTTTTTGGACACTTAATTGACGCTAACTGCAATTAAATGAAAATGTTTTATTGTTTAATTTTATATTTTAGCTGAAATTTAAAGTGCTTATTTGGCCCTCTTATAAGCAGGACTTAAAGGCACAATATGTAATTTTCGCCGCTAGAGGGCGCGTATTCAAAATAAACAAAGAGACAAAGGCGTAGTTTGATGACGCTGTGACTGAGTGTGGAATCATGGGAGTTGTGCCTTTAAGTAAGATTTTTAACATGTAATGTAATATCTGTTTCTATTGTCTTCACATCAAACACATCGACATAAGTTTACTTCTTTAGAACATGACAAAAGAATATGAAAACATTATGATTTAAAATGTATTTTAAAGTAAAACGTTGACATTATTACAAAGTGCACTTTTTAAAAGTGTACTGTGAAACAGTCATGAAAGTGTCTCTCTTTAAAATCACTTAAGTGACCTTTTATTTCATAATTATAGTACCTGCAAATCCAGTTTTTTTTTTTTATAGCTTTGAAGTACAAAACAAGTTAAGCATGTTTTTCCACAAGGGGGATAAAATGAATGCTAAGCTATTATAATTATTGGCTGTGTTCCTCAACCCAATGCTACAATAAAAATGTAGGCCAATTAAATTAAAAATGTTAAATATGTTATTTCGAGTTCTGCCATGGTTTTCATGTACATGAAATTCATGTCATGCAAATGAAATCCATTAATTTTTGCAAGGTTTTAATTTAATGCAATACTAATTGGTTTTCAGACTTGCTTGTAGGAGTATGAGCGTGTAAGTTTGCTCTCACCGTGCAATCTCAGGATAACCGTCGCTGCACGCCATATGAAGTGGTGTCCAGCCGTTCTCGTCCCTCTGATGAACATCAGCGCCGTATTTTATCAGAAGCTTCACACACTCCAGGTTTCCTGAGAGCACGGCTTCATGGAGCGCTGCCATTCCTGAGAAAAAGCCAGCTTTTGTTAGGGTGGGCTGCTCAATTTCTCTTTCCTGATAGCAGTGAGATTAAACCTTTCCAGAAAATACCTCAGACTCAAACAAATGCAATAAGCTTGAACTCTTTCTCACTAAACAGACAAATCAAAATCCATTTATTAATTTTCAAAGTTTAGTGTGTAATTTCTGTGCCACACCAAACATAACTGCAAAGTAATCCCAAACATTCCCGAATTTTCCATTATTTGGCAAACGTCCTTCCCAAGGAGGTTTAATATACCTGAGAGAGCTATCCATTTATGTTCCCATTCATCTTAATGCCAGTTGCTCAGCTGGTGCATACAGCTATGAAAATCTGTGATTTGAATTCTTCCACCATATGCAATAATTTCTGGAAAACTTTTTAACCAATCACCTGAGCCCTCATGCGACTTATCACTCTATATTAGAACTCCTTGATGCTAACATATAAAAATATAAGCCAAAAAAATCTACAACAATATACACTCTCAGAAAAACAGTGCAAAAACTGTATCTTTAGGAGTACAACAGCTTGTCACTGGTGCAGTATGCTCAAAGGGACATCTTTGTACCCCGAAAATGTTTTAGTAGTACCTTATAGGTGCACACTACTCTAAGGTAAAAAGTTCTCTCTTTAAGGGCACTGCTCTAGTGACAAACTATTATTCTCCTTAAAGTAAAATTTTGCACCTTTTTTATCGAATTTTTGTTAAAACCGTTTTTTAAGCTACTTTTGAATAGACCTATAAGGAGTATTTGTATTTACAGCATCTGCTATGGCTAATGGTGCATTCAAGTCCTCCTGGGAAGTTCGTATTTATGAAATGTCGTAATTACGTTCAAATAACTTTGGCGGAGCAAGATGGTTAGGTACATTTTGTGCATAAAATTCAACAGGATTTACAAAATCAAATTTGCATTGTGAATCGTTATATATTCTATCATAATTGTACAATACGATGCTATTTTGTACATGCAACTTAGTTACATAGTAAATGAAAAAAAAAGTATTAATTTGAACAAATTTACCATCAATACAGATGCTGCATCCATTGCGTTTAACATGTTTTCCCACTGACATCCCCCAAGAAAATCTTGAGTTTTCATTGACTTTTTGGGGACGTTCATGTGCAATCAACACATAAATATTATTTTTCCAACATGACTTAGATCAGGGGTAGGCAAGTTCGGTCCTAGAGAGCCGCAGTCCTGCAGAGTTCAGCTCCAACCCTAATCAAACACACCTGAACAAGCTAATCAATGTCTTCAGGATTACTAAGGCTATAGGCAGGT